AATGTATGCTTCCTGTAAGCTACTTTATTTATTTACTTTCCTGCTTTAAAAAGGTCACGTGATGTGGTTCCTCCAGCCTCTGCTTCAAAAGTGCGGGGACTAAACTTGCATGCAGTAGGCAAGTGCACTAACTACCACCTGGCACACCCCATCCTGGTCCTTAACCTCAGATTGACAAAGAAGGTGCTTATGTTCACATTCTTCCATGAGACCAGCATATGCACTAAGAGTAAAACAAAGTTGTGTAAAATACATCTAATCATGTAATAAAAATACAATCTGAACTAAGGAATATCAATGTCACAAGAGAAAGCAAAAACATAGGGAGTTACTCTAAATTGAAGGATATTAAAAGACACGAAAAAAACCAAAATGCTGGAATTACAAGTGTGCACTACTCTGGTAGGAGACCAGAGTATTACGGTAGGATAAATCTTCCTTAAAAGACAAGATTTTCAAAAGGGGTAAAGGGACTAGATGTGTTGTTATTTACAAAAACAATGTTGAATATTGTAAATGTGACTTTAAAACAGTGGACTGTGGAAGGAAGGAAGGAAGGAAGGAAGGAAGGAAGGAAGGAAGGAAGGAAGGAAGGAAGGGGTGGTGGAAGGAACAAAAACATGCAGGCAGGCAGGGTCACCTCAGAGGCTAAGGGTACTTGCTGTACTTGCAGAGGACCTGGGTTCACTTCCCAGCACGCACACAGGGCTCAGAACTCTAACTTCAATTCTCTGGTATCTGTTGCTCTTCTGACCACCCCCGGCATCAGGTCTGCACACAGTGCACATACATACATGTAGACAAAACACTCATACACATCAAACAGAAACGATAGGTAAGTTCTTAAAAAAGAAAGGATAAAAGGAATGAAGGAAGGTTTGCTCAGATGGCCAAGCCCTTAAGTTCCTTAGCCTGCGTGGCTCTCAGAATTTGACCAAGGCCACTGTTGGACTTGGACTTATGCAGGGATGAAAATGCTCTCCACTGGCATCCTCTAGTTAAAAAACAAAACCAAAAACCATATAGGGCTCTCAGTCACATAACGAGACTCATCAAAGAAACCTAATTCAAACAGCCACACATTGCTGGTGGCTGCTACATGGACTGGCCCAGCCACAGACACTTCTCAGAAAAATCTAAGAATTTTGCATGAAATTTCAATGAAACTTAAAAGCTCATATCATTTTTGCAAAGTTGCATTTATTTATTCACTCTGTATGTGTATGTGCTTGTGCCATGGTGCTTATGTGGAGGTCAGAGGACAACTTTTGGGAGTTGGCACTCTTCTTCCACCACATGAGTTCTGACCAAACTCAGGTGTCAACTTGAAAGCAAGTGCCTTTCCCTCCTGAGGCATCTTGTTGGCCAACATGATGTTTTTAGGTTTAAAAAACACCAAAGCAAAGCGCTCTAAGTCTTTGTACTTTTTGCTCCTGCACCTGAGATCTATCTTTTTTTTTTTTTTTTTGATGGCTTCCTTATGCTCCAGAAGTTATGCTAAGCCTCACATTTAGGCTAGCTTTTCAAATCCTTGCTTCTTTTATAAAGTAAGAAACCGAGAAACAGAGAGACAGTCTTAGTTCATCAAGATCACATAACAAACTCCTTTTGGTCCAGGATGTCTGACTTCAGTGTTCATAATCCTTTTTTGTTATTTTGGTCTTTGGTTTTTTGAGACAGGGCTTCTCTGTGTAGCCCTGGCTGGTTAGGAACTCAAAGATCTGCTTGCCTCTGCTTCCTGAGTGCTATAATTTAAAATCTGTGCCACCACTGCCCAGCTCAGTGGCCATACCCTTTAAGCATAATGTTACAATATTTTTCGTGAAGTTATTATTTTCTGTAATGGCTTATAAAGACTTAGGAAGATAAGTATATGTTATAAAAGCTATAAGTTAACATCGAAACCAAAGCCTGTAAATGGTTTTATTTTTTTTCCAATTAATAAAAATGTTCATAAAGTTGCAAAAGTAACAAAAACATAATGGGATAAAATTCTACTCACAAGAAACACATGATAGCCGGGCGATGGTGGCGCACGCCTTTAATCCCAGCTCTCGGGAGGCAGAGGCAGGCGGATCTCTGTGAGTTCGAGACCAGCCTGGTCTACAGAACTAGTGCCAGGACAGGCTCCAAAGCCACAGAGAAACCCTGTCTCGAAAAACCAAAAAAACAAAAACAAAAACAAAAAAACCACATGATACCTGCATAATCTTACGGGTGATATCAACATGTAGGAATATTGAAGGGTTTTTGATAAAGACAAAAAGGGTAACTGGTCATAAATTGTTTAAAAAACACCACTCTGGTAAACAATTTTCAATATGAAAAATTTTTAGTTACAAGTTGTCAATTCTTACCAAATGACTTTTTTTTAAAAAAAAAATTATGTATATAGTGTTCTGCATGCATGTATGCCTGTGTGCCAGAAGAGGGCGCCAGATCTCATTATAAGTACCTGGGAGGCACCATGTGGTTGCAGGGAATTGAACTCAGGTCCTCTGGAAGAACAGCTAGTGTTGCTCTTAACCTCTGAGCCATCTCTCCAGCCCACCAAATGACTTTTCTAGGTGACAGTTTCAAATAATTTTTGATTAAATTTTCCTCTCAGATTATAAAGGGTGCAGAAAGTAAAATTAATAAGATTCCAGTTTCCTAGCCAGGTGGTGGTAGTACACACCTTTAATCCCAGCACTTGGGAGGCAGAGGTGGATCTGTTTGAGGACACCATGGTCTACAGAGCAAGTAGTAGGACTGCCAGGGCAACACAGAGAAACCCTGTTTTGAAAAACTAAGATAGTTTCCAAAGTAAAGGGTACTTAGTCCTGTAAGGGCCTCTCTGGACTCTAGCTCATGGTGGGACTCTGGATTTGACGGTGAATACGGATTGCCTCTCTAGAGGTACGCATTTGGGGTGGAAGCTGTGAGTGGAAGTGTTGGCAGTGCCCAGGAAAGAAAAAAACAATTAGACAGGATCCCACTCAAGCATCTTCCTTCTCCATTAAAGGTCCTAAAACTCTGGGCAGATCTCCCAAAACAGTATGGAAAGAATGGGCTTTAGGAAACGGGATTTGTGGGTATAGCAACAGCCATCATCATTTCTACTCCTGCTTCTCGGTCATGCATGTGGGTCAGAACAATAGTGACATGACTAATGGAATCATTACAGCCTTACATAAAGATGTATGAAAAGGGCTGGGTGTGTAGCTAGGTGCTCAGAGGTAGAATGTTCGTTGAGTGTGCACAAGTCCCTGGGTTCAATCCTTACTGAGGAGGAAAAAATAAGCCAAGTAGAGTAGTGTAATCCAGTACTTGGGAAACTGAGACAGGAGAACCGCTGTGAGGTCAAGGCCAGCCTGATATACATGACAAGACTGTCTCAAAACCCCCCAAAGAATGCCTGGCCTGAGTGAGCTGCTCCCTGCCATGGGGGCTAGGCTGAGTAGGGCCTAGAAGAGGCGGTACTGAGTGCACTGCCTTAAGTACTCAGGTACTAACTGTACTTCGTGTTTCTAAGGGGAAGCCACGGACAGAGATAATCAAATTCAGATCAGAACACACATTACAAAATACAGTCAGAGCAGGGTTCAAGGGTGATCCTGTGCAAAGTAGGCCCCACCAGCTCCGTGGTGCTGAGAAGACTAAAGGCTTTCCTGGGCACTTAGGAGCATGAGCACACATCGGGGCTAAACTACACCGTGACCCCCCCCCCCCAACAGTTCACACCCCACAAGGAAGATTTATAGGGAATGAAAGCAGACAAGACACATTAAGGCACCAAACACATAACTCACTGATGTTTTACAAATTTACTTTAGGTAGTAAAGGCTTTTATTGTTCTGAATCCTGATTACAAGTCACATGATCAAGAACAATTGAAAAAAGAGATTCAGGAGCACGTGAAAAAGACTACAGCGCCTTACAAATACCCCAGAAAGGTGGGTAGCCTTGCTTCACCTGCATTTGTTCAGTGCTTTGGAAAAGGTTTGGCTATGTTTTTTCCTTTCTAAAGTGACCTCTCTCCTTAAACATGCTATACAAAAGGTTCCCAACAGAACTAATAATAGACAGTAAAAAATTTTGAGATAAAATGAAGCCCCTAATATACTTTAGTCAATTAGCTCATAACGCTAAATGTAAAGAAAAACTTCAACCATCCCTTCACCTAGCCGTCAAAGCAGAGCTGTGTGGGACTAATTTCCTTCCTCCCCCTTACTGCCAACAGGTGGAATTCATTGAAGAACTGCCAAAGACTGTCAGTGGGAAGGTCAAAAGAAATGAACTAAGGAAAAAAGAATGGAAAACTATTTAAACTCATCCACTAATTATTCAGATATCCATAAACAAATTCAGTGTCTACAGTCTTCAGGAACCACAGGTTATATGGGCAAATTGCTTCTAAACTGAATTTAAAGTACTTTTTAATAATGACATCAGAGGCTGAATTCTGAAATCAAATAGTCAGTGAATTTCTGTGTTCACCTCAATGTTTCTGCAATTTGGCAGCATAAACAAAGGTCATCAGGTGCTGAGAGGTTTTAAAACTATTTTCGGGAAAGTTTCTAAATCAAATTTCTACCCCACTGGTTTTCAAAACTTAATTGAATAATTCTAATGTCTTAATATACAAATCAGAACAAATATTAAAGCTCTTTAAAAAACTAAGTAACTTGTTTTTTAGAAAATTGTCATAATCTTAGAATATTTACCTAAAAGTTGAATAAGAATTTTATTAGTCATATTTTCACTCAAGTAATTTAAAAATAGTTTGAAATTTGCTTCAAGGTCTACAAGAGAAAGCTGTCATGTGCTATGGCTACTTAGTGAATAAATATGGTTTATAAAAGTATTTTTTTCTTGTGGCTCATGATAGTTTGATAAATTCAGCAAATTGATAATATATGAAATATAGTTCTGTGACATTATCCAAATACACATTAGAGAATTTAGGGAATGAGGATTCCTACAGGAACAGACAAGGGACAGTAGTCAGAAAACTACTGGGCAAGAGTAAAAGTCATGCAAATTACTTCCCCTCTGTGTGAACTGCTCCAGTGTAGCTGTGGTTGCAGGAATACTGAGACCTTGAAATTTGACCCTGATACTTTTATTTTCCAGTATAAAAGTCACATGAAGCTTATACTGAAGTAAAAGACAGTTTAGGGGAGAATTTATCAATTTCTCATTGAAGGTCTGAGTCGTAAAGAATTTTTAATAGGAAAACTCAAATTTCTATCATGAATACGACTTGTTTCTGGAGAGCTGAAAGTGAGTCCTGGGGAATGAGATAGAGCTCTGCTACTGGCTCTTTCCTTTTGAAGTGTTTGTTCCCATTTAAAATAACTGCAGCGTTTTCTGTCTTCTTGGAACTTCCCAAAAGGGCAACAGTAGAAGGCTTTCCCATGGTTTGCCCCATTATTGGAAACAACAAGCCGCTTAGACCTTCTGCCACACTTGCATAAGGGAGGTGTCATCTTCCTGCTCTCCCAAGGCTCTTGTAGGTTAACTGTGGATGTCAATACAGAGGAAAGAACTTTCCAGGAAGAAGTTCCTGGGGAGCACGTAGATGATGCAGACTTTTCATCATGAATAGTGAAGGTCTGCTTTTTGGCTCGTGGGAAAGCTGGGGGACTAGATGAATTCCTTTTAGTACCACCTAAAAGAGGTTGTTTCCTCAAAACCGAAGGATGTGAGGCATTGGCATTAAGACTGTTGATGGTAAATGGTTTGCATTCGGGCAATTTAAAAGCAGAAGCATCTGAACTCAGATGTTTGGCTTCTTTTACATTATAGACTGTACTGTGAGGACTCTTATACACAATAGACTTAGGTGTCTCAAAGTTTTGAGGAGTTTCCTTGAGATCGTCAAAGTTTTCATAACTAAGGGTTTCTGGTTCTTCTAAAACTATCGATCTCTCTCCAGAATTAAATGAAGTCTCTACATTTGTGTTACTAACACGAGGCACACAATCTTTATCTTGTTCAGCCTGAGATGCTGGCAGTAAAACCACATCTTCCCACTCAGTCAACATAGGTAAACAGTCAACAGGAGAACCCACTTCTCCATCAGAAACAACATTAACAGATGGAATGGTCGTAGATACAAGTACCAAGTTGGAGTTAAGTACCGAGGACCTTGAAGTGTTATTCGGTGCTAACTGTTCACTTCTTCTTTGCTTCTGCGTAAAGAGAGGTGAATTCAGTTGTTCCACAGAGGTCGAGGGCTTAGAAGTGAAAGGAGCTAAGCCACATTTGATATTGTGAAGACCTGATTTGGTTTTTAGCTGTAACTGATCCTTTATAGAGGAATTCACACAAACTAAATTCATTTGAGCATTTTCCTGGGTATTTACTGTACTTTGGGGCTCCTTTTGATGTGCACTGGGACCCTGGATGCTAGTGTTGCAAGCAGATGCTTCTTCAGCTTGATCTGTGCCCAAATTTCTGACCAAAATCTTGGGATTCCTCTTAGTGAGAACCTATGATTCCACAGACAAATCCACTGCTTTAGAAACTGTATAATTCCTTCAGTAGATATTACATATGCCAAAAAAAAGAGGGGGGAGGAGAATGCCACTGGTTTGAAATCAACATTCTAATGAACCTATGATTACTACCCTAGAGCTTAAAATGACACACTAACCTTGTTCAAGGACCTGGTAATTTTCATTAAGCAACCATCCCTGATCATTTTCCAAGCAAGAAGAGCAGTGTTCCGAGAATCATCTAAGCCTGAGGAAATAAAATATCAAACACTGAATGTTGTAGAACTAATAAAATGGAAATAATAAAAAACAAATCACATTTAACAGGAATTGGGGTACATTGTTAGTTTTGTAACCACCTACTGAATTAAAAAAAATCATAAATCGGTCTGTGGAAAATTGTGATAGCATTACCATACACCAGAGCTTGTGTTTACACAGGTGAGAATTTGTTAGACAGCTTCCAAAAATGTGACCAGCATTCTGTACAAACCATTGTTCGTAAAAAAAAAAAAATAATAGTCGTGTTCAGTTCTTTTCACTAGTGCATCATATTATCTGGGCACTTGTGTCTCTATTTCATGTGCTCGTTATTTTTCTAGTTACTTTTAAACTAACCAGAAGTACTACATGGTGATCTTTATCTAAATTGAAATTCAAAAATGCTAGCCAGAGGCAGGCGGATCTCTGGGAATTGGAGGTCAGTATGGTCTACAAGAGTGAGTTGCAAAACAGTCAGGATTGTTACAGAGAAACAGTGTCTCAAAAAACTGGGAAAAAAAAAAGCACTACCCCCTACATGAAACTAATATGAAAGATTTTGCAAAACTCAAATGACTTACATAATAAAATGATTATCAGTTTATACGAACCAGAATGTTCTCGTCCTGAAAATTCTATTCCCACTTCCTGCAACGCACCATTTAGTCCTTTGGGTTTTCGCTTATAAAAAAGCTAATTAAACAAAAAAAGACATATTTAAAATATAATGATTATAAAGGCTATGAAGTTATTTCCTACAGTTTTTAGTTCTATTAAATTTGGGATTTATTATTTATGTGAATATTCCAAAAGAAAAATACCTTATTGTAGAAATTCATACCAATAAGATAAAATATAACTACTTCTCAAAAAAACCACAGTGAACATGCTCCCTTCTTTGATCCTTACCTTATAAGTTGCTCTGAGATCAATCCAAGAATTCAGGAACCCGGGTTTTAGCAGCTGCTTTCTTCTACACTCATATTCTAGGCAAACCCCCAAGTCCCAGTCTGCATTAAGGGCATGAAAAGTCAGTGATGTCAGCGCATTGCCATTTACAAGTAAAATATACAAGACAAGATGTAGGAGAGCAGTGAGATATAATTGCTATGCTAATAAATAATGCTCATATAGTCTATATTATTTTACATCTTATATAACTCACCATTAAGAAATTAAGTTGACTGTTTCAAAATAATATCTTCTGCGTGTGTGCAGGTGCGCAGGTGTGTGGGTGTGCTTGTGTGCTGGTGCAAGTGAGCAGGTGTGCAGATCAGAGGACAGCCTCAGGGGATCCCTCAACTGCTACCCATCTTATTTTGAGACAGGATTTCTTATTGGCCTGGAGAATCGAGATTTTAAAAATATGAATGAATTTGCTTTTCTTGGCTAGTACCTATGTGGCCCTTGATTTTCTTCCCCAGGTCAATGAGGTCGACAAGCATAATTCTAGGTTAGGAAGACTAAAACTAGAAATAAAGGACTACATAGTGGTAATGCTACTGCTCTTTTAGTAAGTGGGGCATATGTATATGTGGTATGTATGTGCCACATGTTCACAAGTGTGGGGGTGAAGGTGTATGTGGACATGCATGTGTACATATATGTAGAGGTAAGGCGGCCATCAGGAATCAACTGTTTCCCACCTAATCTATTGAGGCAGAGTTCCTCACTGAGCCTCAGATTTGCTGTTTTAGCTCTCTGACTAGCCAGCTTGCTCTGGGGATTCCTTGTCTGAAACTATGTTCCTGAATTATAGATAGAACACTGTGCCCATGTGGCTTCTATGTGGGTTCTGAGGATCCCAACTCTGGTCCTCATGATTGTGTAACAAGACTGGTATCTGCTGAGCCACCTCCTCAGCCTCAATGCTACCCACCGGGACTTACAATCATAACTCATGGTTTTACCTGACCAGGTAACAAAAGCACACAATTTTACTTCAGAAGACGGCTCCGAATCCCCAGGAGCAAAAATGATTTTCTTCTCCTGCTGAATCTTTTGAATCCATTTACAGAACTGAGATAAGCAAATCTTCAGAGGGACTCCTTCATCAACTTGAACCTGATCGGAGAGCCAAAAATCTGTTTTAACAAATGAACTTCTAAGCTACTGAGCTTTTATTACAACTCTGTACTATGGGGGAACAGAACAAAGAGAGGCTCTGACTGACTGACAGTTTACCTAGTACAAACATGCTGAGATTACAGGCGAGAAACACTGCAGTGACTTGAGAGAAACGAGGCTGGTAACGCCAGAGTTTCACAGAAGTATACACTTTAAGTCCAGTCTCACAGAAATAAGACACTGAGTAATGCTACTCTGCAAAATAAACTGTTTCTCTGGAGCCCAAACCCTGGACTTCCCGCATACCAGGTGAGCCCCCTAAACAGAGCTACAACCCCTGACCTTTATGTTTCTAGCATTATTCTGATATTTTCAAGATGCCATGAACGTTCAGAGGGGACATTATTTCTCTTAACATTGAAAAAATTTAATCCCAAGTGTTACATAACTTTTATTTTTCTTTCTGAAACTTATTTCTGAACTTTTAAAATTTGCATCATACCTGCTTTATCCCTGTCAGTTCTGTGCAAAATTCAGAAAGAACCGGATGCTCCTGAGGCTGAACATAAGCATGGAACTCGGATTCAATCTCTCCAGTTGCTGTACTCAACAAAACTGCTGGAAATTCAACTAGTGAAAGAATCATAGATTAATACTTAAATATATTGTATTTATTTATTGCTTGTTTATTTATTTATTGGGTCTCAATTTGTAGTCCTGGCTGGTCTGGAATCAATATAGATCAGCGGTTCTCAATCTGTGGGTCGGAATCCCTTCCTGGATACCAAATATTTATATTATAATTCATAACAGTAGTAAAATTAGTTATGAAGTAGCAACAAAACTAATTTTATGGCTGGAGTCACCACAACATGAGGAACTGTATTAAAAGGTCACAGCATTAGGAAGGTTGAAGAAGCACTGACCAAGCTGGCTTCAAACTCATAGACAGGCCCCTCGTCTCTGCCTCTGAGTCTGGGGTTAAGGGTGTGTACCACCACACCCAGCCTGAATATGCAAATCCTCCTAAACATGCACTGCTTAATAGCGCGAGTAAACAATCAATGATAGTAAAAGCTTCTAAGAGTAGCCAAAGCCACGAGAAACAAGTTTTAAGAAAGCTAGGTCAAGGAATAAGTCAAAACCTCAAAGTTATGTGTCTGTTGGTTTCACAACTAAATATGAAGACTACAAGAGTTAAAATGTATTCTATTATTGCAAAGCCATTTTTCAGTTTCTATCCAGTCAAAGTTTTAAATACAATCCTAAAACAACTAGCTACTTTGCATGATCACATCCAGGTATTTGGCATTTTATTCTTTTTTTAGGCAAGACAGTGTTTATATTAAACTACCAGCTTCCGGCATCCTGCTTTCTTATTGGCTGATTCGTACCTAGGAACTTTAAGAAGACTCATTGAGCACTAGCTTTGGACACTGGCAGTCCAAACTTACTTATTTCAGGACTCCTGTGTTGTTTCCCATCTTTCCAGCATGTGGACTCAAAATCAATGACAATTAAGTAGTCATACACCTGTTCTGCAAGAGACCAAAGTGTTCTTAGTACACGGTCCAAGTTCAAGGTTTCCAGATGAAAACGAAACACGGGACTTACTGAATCTGCTTCCTCCTGGATTCCCACTTGCTGGGGCAACTGACTTTCTCCTAATTAATCCAAGCCGCCTAAAAATACAAAATCCAGTAAGAGCAATAAATTCATTTATACTCCAGTTAGAATCAGCTATCAAACTAATAGCACTGAACAAATGGTAAAATTCTCATTAAGGTACTATAATTGGAGTTGGGTGTGGGGACACACTTGTAAGCTCAGTGCTCAGCAGGCCAAGGCAGAAACGAGTTTAAGGGCAGGTTAGCATACACACCAAGTCCCTGTCTCAAACAGCAGCTGTGTAGACTTTACAAGATCGGGACTCTTGGCTAAGTGCCATCCTCTCTTGGATGCCCATCTTACCTGCACGGGCTTCCAGTGACTATTGCCAAACACTCATTTTACCTGTTCTCATTTTATAGCAGCACCGAGCAACTCAAAGCACTGTGAAGACGGTTAAAAACCGTTAGCTATTGCTGTACTTTCAAGCCCTTGCTCTGTCCTAAAGCGATGATGACTCCTGTTCCTAAAGTTAAAAAATCTAGGTGAGGAAGTAAGATAACCAGAGTTTGACCGGAAGGCAATCTATGATGAAAGACCCCCACTAGCAAGATACTGGATCCAAAGAAGACTAACAGGGTTAACCATGGTCTTAGATGCAGGGGAAACAAAAACCTGATGAGTACAACTTCAACTAGCAGATAACTGGAGTCTTGGTTTTTTGAAAAAGACAAGATGTGATGTCAGTATAGAGTTCTGGGGGTTAAAAGCTGACATTTAAGCCGGGCAGTGGTGGCGCACGCCTTTAATCCCAGCACTCGGGAGGCAGAGGCAGGCGGATCTCTGTGAGTTCGAGGCCAGCCTGGTCTACAAGAGCTAGTTCCAGGACAGGAACTAAAAAGCTACAGAGAAACCCTGTCTCGAAAAAAAAAAAAAAAAAAAAAAAAAAAGCTGACATTTATTGCTTCATCAGCAAATATTAAAAATTAAGGTGGTAACCTCTTTTAAACAAGTCTAGGCGGTAACCCTTATTTTATGCATGAGAAAACTAGGTAATTTGCTACAGATGGCCATAGTAGGTTAACCGTTGATAGACTGACTCTCCAACCCTGAAATCCATGCTATTCACTAACACATCACATTGCTTTTTCTTTATTTTGGATTTGGTTCTGTTGTTGTTTTGAGACAGTCTGGATATGGGGCCTCGGGCCTGCCCCAACATTTCCTCCTAGACCAGGCTAGCCTCGAACTTCCTTCGCTGGTATTATAGGCGCGCGCTGTGTCGACAAACCTCAGAGCGTGTCCAAAAATCCAGCGTCCGCTGTAATTCTTACAATAAAATCGGGCTAGGCAGCTGGCTCGGACGCAATGGGTGCATTGGCACCCGCCCGCGAACAATCTGCACAGCACAGTCCCATTCCAGGGGCTTCCCAGACCCGAAACGGCACGCCGCCCCAGAACCCGGCTCCTCGGGCTCCTCCAGCCTAGCGAGGATGGCGGCGTGGGGCCCGAGGCCGGCCTTTTCCGACCCAGACGAGCCGCCTGCGGATGACCGTCGCCAACCCTCCGGGGTGAAACCCCTAGCGTACCGCGCCAGCCGCTTGGTCGCCATGCCAGACCCTCTGCTCCTCAGAGTCCAACGGCCGGAAGTCGGCTGCCCTCACTTCCGGTCCGTTTAAACGCCGGCGCGCCTGAGCGGCCCGAGTGTTGTGGTGGCGGCGGCCGCGGACGTCAGCGAGCGGAGGGGCGCGCCTGTGGCGGCTCGGGACCTGGAGGGCGGGGACGGAGGCTTGGGGAGGGCGAGCAGCCTCGCTCCGCCCCCGACGCGCTTCAGGTAGCGTTTCCAACCCCTCGCTGAGGGAAATCTCTGCGCGGGCGGGCGAAGCGCGGTTAACGGGCCTGAGCTGCGTCGAGGGGAGAAAGTTGAGAACCGTCTCCCTCTCCCGCGCTCCGCCGGTGCCTTGGTCACCGCAGCTGCAGCTGATCTTTCCCTGCAGCCTGATGGAGCTAGAGACGGAGATGGAGACGGAGACGGAGACGATCCCCAGGAAGAGGAAGGGGACCCCGAACTCGGCCCTGGAAACAGAGCCGGATCTTGAGATCAAGGAGCCTAAGGCCAAGGTGAGCAAAGGAGAGCCCGGCAGGAGGCCCAAGTCGTGTGCGGCTCCGAGTCCCGTGCCCCCGCCGTCTGTGGGGTCCCTGCCGAGGGATCCGGGCTGACCGACCCACTGGCTTCCCCGAACCCCGTCTCTGGTCTGTAAAGAGGGATAACTTAGCAGCCAGCCGGGCGGCGGTGGCACTCAGCGGGCAGAGACAGGCGGGTCTCTGTGTTTTCGAGGCCAGCTTGGTCTACAGAACGAGTTCCAAGATAGCAAGATAGCCTGGTTTAGGAGAAACCTGTCTCAGACAACAACAATAACAAACTGATTTACTGTCCGCTACACAGAATATTTATTAAGATGAGTGTAACAGGAATGTTTCAGAAATATCCTTTCCACCTAAACAGAATTCTCTGCCTCTATACAATTTGAATTTTTCGAGACAGGGTTTCTCTGTAGCTTTTGGTTCCTGTCCTGGAACTAGCTCTTGTAGACCAGGCTGGCCTCGAACTCACAGAGATCCGCCTGCCTCTGCCTCCCGAGTGCTGGGATTAAAGGCGTGCGCCACCACCGCCCGGCTACAATTTGTATTCTTGCTGGGCGTATTGATTGACGTTCCTAATATTTAGTAACCGCTAAATAAATAGCGGCCAGTCGCCAGGTGTTTTTCATTCTTTGTCATGTGCCCAAGGCAGTGTGACCTAGGCACGTGAGGTGTATCAAGGAATAAATAAAAATTACTGCCTTACTACAGCCTACATTTTAGTAAGGAGCCAGAACATTTGAGTTGTATGCTATGTTAGAAAGGAATTAGTGTCACCAATTCTTTTATTAAAATGGAATAATTACGACTTACCAGATTAGCCATAAAAAAGAAATACAAGAATATTGACAATTCCACCTAAAACTTAAAAACTTTATAGAAAAGTTGCAAAGCAGTACTAAAAGCTGCCCTAGCCAACAGTGGAACGTAGTTGCCGGCCCATATGGAGCTGCATTTTTCCCATTTGGGTGTTTTTATTTCCTCGGTGCTCTACATAATCACAACACAGCCATCAAAATAAGGAAATTAACATGAATGTATTGCTGCCACTTAATTCTCAGAGCCCATCCAAGTTTCTTTAAAAAGATTGATTAAGCTTTTTAGCATGTGGTCCAGTGTAGAATTATGTTAACTTTTTAATATCTTTCTTCTTCAACTCCAATAGTCTTTTGACATTCGTGACTTTATTTATTTATTTATTTATTTATTTATTTATTTATTTAGTTAGTTAGTTAGTTTTTCGAGACAGGGTTTCTCTGTGGTTTTGGAGCCTGTCCTGGAACTAGCTCTTGTAGACCAGGCTGGTCTCAAACTCACAGAGATCCGCCTGCCTCTGCCTCCCGAGTGCTGGGATTAGTGTGCGCCACCACCGCCCGGCATGACTTTATTTTCTTTTGAGGAATTCTGGATCAATATGAAAGACCCTACAAACTCCCCCTCCCCCCAAAAAAACCTGCAGCTAGCTGGCTCTCATGAGAACATCCTGTTTGCTTGAGACCCTCAGGACCCTCTCAGGACCTGCAGCTAGCTGGCTCTCATGAGAACATCCTGTTTGCTTGAGACCCTCAGGACCCTCTCAGGACCTGCAGCTAGCCACTCTCATGAGAGCAGAGTGAGGTCAGAGTCTCTGGCTGTCAAGCAGGATATTTATGAGGTCAGAGTCTCTGGCTACAAGCAGGATACAACTGTGTGGGAAAAGGAAAAACCACTTATGCCCCCTGCCCCATTCTAATCAGACCGATAACCATGCATCTGCTTCTTCTGCTTCTGTAACTTGCTTCTTGGCCAGCCCCTTTCCTATAAAAAGACCTTCCCCCAGTCTGCAGGCGTGCAAGTCCTCCGAAAGACTTTGCCGCCCGCAGGTACCTGTGTTCACCTAATAAACCTCTTGCTATTTGCATCCGAGTGGTCTCGGCCTGTTCCTTGGCTTCGGGGGAGTCTCCTCTCCAGGGAAGTCCTCTTCGGAGGTCTTTCAAATTATTTTGTAGAATGTCCCTTGAGTGTTTGTCTCTTTGTTGATGGGACTGAGGTCACACATCTTTGCAGAACTAGCACAGAAGTGATGGTCTTCTCTTGCAGTTGGCATATGACGTTTTGTCCAGTCCCTTGATTACTTAACATAGTAAGATGGTGTCTGCCAACCTGTCTAAAACGTCATTCGTAATTTTGTAGAGGATTCTTAAGGCACTTCAGTTTATCAATATGAATTCACAGATAATCTATTCATTGAGCCATCATTAATTAATTTATTTATTTTGGTGCTGGGTATCGAATCTAGAACCTTGAGCACAATAGACAAGTACTCTACACCTGAACTGTACACACACACACACACACACACACACACACACACACCCCTGCTCTTTCTTTCTGAGCCTGTTTCATTAAGTTGTCAAGCTCAACTTTCAAATTGTCCTATGGCCCAGTAGGTCTTGAACTTGTGGTTTTCATGCCTCCTCAGTAACTGAGATTACTGTTCTATACTACCAGACTTTATTATTTATTTTTTAAATTATTATTTTCAAAATTATTTTATGTCTATTGGTGCTTTACATGCATGTCTGTACTATGTGTGTGCTTGATGCCCAAGGAGGCCAGCAAAGGGCGTTGGATCGTCTAAAACTGGAGTTATAGCTGCTTGTGTGTCACTAGGTGGATGCAAGGATGAAGTGGGTCCTCAGGAAGAGCAGCCATTGCTCTTAACTGCTGAGCCATCTGCCCCTCTGGCTATGTGTTCTGATTCTCTGAATAGCAAAGATTTGATCATTAACTTGCTTTTGAGTTGTGACATGACTGTATCACTCTGAGCAGGTCATTGCTTTCTGGCGAGAAGGGGTATCTGCTTTCTCTGTCCCAGGTCCCTGGAATCAGCCTGGTTCTTAGTGGAGAATGGCTTTATAAATTTGTTTGTTTTTTGTTTTTTGTGTTTGTTGTTTCTCTGTGTAACAGTCCTAGTTGTCCTGGAACTAGCCCTGTAGACCAGGCTGGCCTCAAACACATATCCTTTTGCCTCTGCCTTCTGAGTGCTGGGATTAAAGACGTGCACCATCACCACCCGGTTGGCATTTGCATATTTTAAATGGTGGTATTGTAGATGATTTTATGCTAGTAGGATGCCAGTAGTCCCAAAAGGTCATGTTAATGGGTATGCTTGTGTGTTGTAAATATATACAAACATGCATTTACAACTAGTTTCCTGAATTCACATTAAATGCATGCTTTCCAGTCAACTTATTTCTAGTCAAAGCTCTTTGTAGTTCCTCCTTTTTCATATCTGCAGCTTCCTTTTCTGATAGAAATACAACTATTATCTCCAATGTTTAACTCTTAATCACTATCACCACCTCCTGTTCATCACATCTTTGCCCTGCTCGGTTCCAGATCAAATATGTTTGAAGAGCCCTCATTATTGTAACAGGCTCTGCAAGCATCCCTATTAGATAGGCACTTACGATTCAGGCCCTAGCCATGAAGAAATTAGTAGTTAATATCTGATATTTATTAAGTACTTAAGGTGTGTTGGTGGCTAGCACTGATATAACACTCTAAACCAATGGTTCTAACCTGGGGGTCAAATGACCCTCTCATGGGGGTTGTCTAAGACCATCTGCATATCAGATATTTACATTATGATGCATAATAGTAGCAAAATTACAGTTATGAAGTAGCAATGAGATAATTTTATGGTTGTAGGTGACCACAACACGAGGAGGTGTATTAAAGGGTCACAACATTAGAAAGGTTGAGAACCACCGTGCTAAACCCTAGGGTAAATACACTCTTGATCCTATGTATTTATAATAGCACTGACCCTTGCAGTGTTAGAATTACCCGTCATATTTTTCTGTAATAAAATAGAGTTCTTGAAAGCATGAATTGTATTGTAATCTTACTATTTTTAGCACACAGGCATGCATAATACACAAACTGTACCAATGTCTATAAAATATTCTACTAATGCCATCATACCACAAGTGGCTCTTTTAGACCTTATTTTCAATTAATTAGAGCAATCCTTGTGCTTGTATATATATATTAAAATATCAGAAACTTGAATAATTGCCTTTTTGCCAATGATGAGTATTACAGTGTGCTGTATTCTAATTTTTCTTTACAGAAAGCTCGCTTATCTTCCATTTTATTTGCTGAAAATGATGTCATAACCCCTAAACAGCTGTGTGAGTTGCTGAAGTATGCAGTTCTGGGTAAATCCACTCCTGAACCCAGGTATGAGATAAACTGTGCATAGGCCAGAGGTTTCAAACTGGTTTGTAGATTATTGATATTTGTTAACCATACATTATATTCATTTTTAATTAAGTAACAGCTGTCAATAATTATTTGGGAATTTCTGTATAAAAATTCAGGTTGGTGGTTTCTTCAAAGAACTTAAAAATCTGGTAACCATCTCTGTTCTCCTAGTAGTCAACATATTTGTCAAGGCTGAAGGTGTATATACTCTATTGTCCCATCTGGCATACTTACCATTCATTATATATCTGTCTGGCTATATAGATACTGTAGTTTGCTTTCCCTGATATGAACTCGATAGGAATCACATTGCTTACTGTTTTTTTATTATAAAGTAATGCTATCTTAATAATTCTGGTTAGTCTTTTCTTTCTTTTATAGATAAAGAACAAAGAGATGATATTATTTGAATGCTGTCAGTGATATGAATGACTTATGAAAATTATATTTCTTATGCCTGTCTTAGTTAGGGTTTCTGTTGCTATAATGAAAGACCATGACCAAGGTAACTTGGGGAGGAAAGAGTTTATTTGGCTTACACTTCCATATCATAGTACATCACTGAATGAAGTCAGAATAGGAACTCAAATGTTGGGGTCCAGTGCCAGCCTGGACCCTAAATAATTTCTCCGGACCAGAGGGGAGGTGTGGGAATAATTGAGACAACTCACATGGCTTTATTGGGAGGGAGATTTTCAGTGATCCCTCATGAAATTTTGAGTTCACATCCTGAAAATTTCTCTGCATTTATTTTCCAAACAGCCTTATATCCCAAAACATAAATGAGGGGGGAAATTCATTAGCATTCTGTTTTCTAGGTCACCAGATGGTAAATGGTTATGGTTATGTCCACATCTACCCATGCCTGCTCTGTCACGCCTTCCTGCTCTATATGCCAGCCCTGTCATGTAGGCCGAATTAACATCTCTTTTAGGCATCCTCCAAATTACAAAGAAGGAGCAGAACAACATCCTGACCCTTTGTTAGGGATGGCGACAGGCTAGGTGATGACCTCCTGTGCAGCAGGTGCAAACTGTGTCCTGAGATTTTGGTTGCCATAACATGTAGAAATATGGTCCTACACTCAAACAAGTCAGGAACCTGGAGGCAGGAGCTGATGAAGAGGTTATGGAGGGGTGCTGCTTATTGGCTTGCTCATCATGGCTTGCTCAGCCTGCTTTCTTATAGAATCCAAGATTCCCAGCTCAAGGATGGCACCACCTACAATGGGCTGGGCCCTCCTCCATTAATCACTAATTAAGAAAATGCTTATTGAGGATCTTAGGGAGGTGTTTTCTTAATTGAGGTTCCCTCCTTTCAGATTACTCTAGTTTGTGTCAAGTTGACATAAAACTATCCAGCAAAATACTTATCAAGAGATTAGCACACATTTCCCCGAGGCAGGTTGTTATAAATTGTCTAGATTTTTTTAGAACCATCTTCTTTGTCATGAAATACTGCCATCTGGCAGGGCCTAGTGGCACATCTCAGCACTCAGGAGGCTGAGGCTGAGGCAGACAGATATCTGAGTTTGAGGACAGCTTAGATTACATAGTGAGTTCCTGGATAGCCACGGCTTGTGTGGAGATACCCTATCTCAAAAAAAAAAAAAAAAAAAAAAAAAAAAGAAAGAGAGAGAAAGACTGCCATTGATTTCAGGGTTACAGAATATGTTGGAGACAAACCTTTGTAGAATAAGCTCGGAGTTCTAATTTAAAGTAAATGTTTGGGTGGAAGAACACCAGCTGCCCTAAGTTGTCCTCTAACTTCCATCCTGTGACACATACAAAATAAGGGTAATTAAAGTTTTAAATAAGCGTTAGTAGGACTTTCACTCGACATTTAATTATAACGAATATTTATTACAAAGATTTTTATTTGAATTCTTTGAAGTAAGGACTGTCTTCCAGTTATAGAGTGAGTCAGAGAGGGTCAGTGGTTGGTGAAGTTTTATTGGTTGTCAGTCACTGTTTCCTGCTTGTCTTCTATGTGTCTGTAACTTGAGATTATCATCTTAGTTGGTTTGATTTTTTTTTTCCAACAGCTGGTGCCAGCTTTTACACCAAAATCACCTAAACAACGTGGTGGTTTTTATTCTGAAGGGAATGAGTCAGCTACACTTCTACAGGTTCTATTTGGAATTCAGATTTCTTCGAAAGACATTCAGACATGTAAGATAAGAAAATTTTGTATTAGGGGCTAAGTTAGAGCTCCTATCCTGAGGCTAGGGCATCAGTCTGAGAATGTTTGTCAATAACCTAGTTAAACACAGGAAGGCAGGAAGGGTATATAGACAGCAGAAGCACTAAGGGCTCTGTTTAGATTAGATTTGTCTGTGCTTTTCTTTGATAATCTAGCAAAAACAGTTACTCTCCAATTATAGTATATAGCTTCTATGTTGATTCTATTTTATTTGTAATATAGAATTTTTATAAATTGCAAAATTCACATACATTTTGTACTTCTCTTAAATCATGATGTTGGGCATGGAGGTGCATAGCTGTAATTATAACAGGTGGAAGGCAAGTAAGAAGGATTTGAGTCCTGCATGGGTGCAAGACCTGTTTAAAAACAAAAAAAGCAAAAAGAAAACCAATCTAAGAAAAATTTTAAAAATTGGGTGTCAATAGAATACTATCTGGAGCTCAATAGCTCCTGCCATCTAGAAAGAAAAGTATGTGCACTGGGTGCTGGTGGCGCTGGTGCCTACCTTTAATCCCAGCACTCGAGAGACAGAGGCAGATGGATCTCTGTGAGTTTAAGGCCCAACCTGGTCTACAGAGTGAGTTCCAGGACAAAAAAAAAAAAAAAAAAAGGCATGTACTGTTGGTTTCATATCCTGCCCTATTTCCCTCTGGCCTGCTTGTCCATATATTCCTGAAGGTATTTGAGTGCGGCGAACTCCCTGACCAGCAGGAAGGAACAGCCACCAGACGAGGATTCTTCCCAAATCACGTTTTATTGGAGCCTCTTGGTTATAGGGAGAGCAGAAAGCAAGGGGCCCCCAGCTCTGAGCTGTAGCTGCTTATATAGGGAGTCTGCCTAGCAACCTTTGATACTTTGACTGCTTTTCTGGAGACCCACCGGCAGGAAAGAAAGCAGGGGAACATCCCTGTCAATTACAGACCATAAGGAAGTTCCCCTGCCGGTCAGGGGTAGTGTGGGCAGCTAGATTACAACAACTCATCCTGTTTTCTTGTGGAAGAACTGCAACCTTAATATGGAGTTATTTATCAAGCGAGGCTGGGGCCAAATGCCATCTTGTAATGGCAGCCACTCAAATCGGCTCCCAGCATTTGAGTCCATCAGCCATAATCTATCTGGGTCTTGATTCTCTTTTGCTTCCATTTTATTGAGTACTTTTTATATGTCTAGTCATGTATTAGTCATGCTATGTTTATCATCTGTAATGACCATGTTGTCCTGTAAGAGGAACTTTATTCTCTTTCATGTTTAAGAAAGTGAGTAGCTCACCAAAGTTAACCACTAATAAATTGTAGAATTGGAATTTTAGCCCAAATGAGCCTGTAGCTAGAGCTTTCAACCTAGGTACCGCCTATATCATCTATCCTGATTACCTGATATGCTGTCTAGTGACATAAAGAATTAGAAGTCCCTGAGAACACTGAACTTGTAAATTCCTCTGTCGACTTTTTACAGTGTGAAGTGAGAGGAACAATTTTCAGGTGGAAATTTTTATTGTAAATGTGGTTTCTTTCACTACCTCACTCTCTCCCATGTTAAGGAAACAGTTCTCATTTTATAATATGAATAGTTAAAGTTCGGAAGGTCTGAACCAACAGTGAAAATCTAGCCCTTTAAGAGTATTTTGTCTGTTTTGAAGTATTTTTAAAAAACTTATTAATATATTTTTTCAGAAATTCAGCTTGCCTCCTCCGACATCCCGTTTTCTATTTAATATCGTTGGGCTGCAAAGGAAGAAATTAGTCAGAGGTTTTCCTAGGACTATTAAAGGTATGGCTTCAATTTTTATTGATGCTTGTAAACAGATGTCATGGATGTGGTAAAGTTTACTCTTGTAAGCAACAATAACAACAGAATCTTCAGTTCTGATCAACTTAAACAAAAAAGTGTCTTCTTTCTTTTCTTTTTTTAAAAGAAAGAATTTTAAAATGAGCAAGTACCCAGAGAGGGTAGATATCAGGAATCATTGGTTTATGCTTCAGAAACTGGTTAAGTTGGATAGCTAAGGATATTTGATTATCGCTGACATTGAAACTCTTAATTACTGTGCTCTCGGCAGTCACTAGGTCTTCGTTTCTACTAGGATATAGGTGGGAAGGAAGAACTTACCATTGACTAATGAAAGGAACATGAATATTATTCACACTGAGGAGCAGATGGGGAATTTAGTTGGTCCTACTTTTAGTTGTGACCTACAGATACAGTAGTTAGAGCTTTAAGATACATACCTATGACAGCAGTGCTGTTCAGACCCGGGAACGTCCTGCGACTAGGTTACAGTTAACTTTTTTTTTTTTTTTTTTTAGAAAGAATATGGGTTGTAGAATAGGAATTAGGAATTATCAAAATTCAGCCAAAATGAAGGTAAATATTGTCCAATGGTACTTCTTTGTGTTCAGAAATAGTAAGTAACTGTATAATTGCACTGAGGAGGCATACACAGGTAGGACTAATCAGGCGGTTCCCTCCTACCTCCTTTTGAACTGTGTTTCCTAGTTTCCTGCATCTTGGTGGTATCTTTTGATTTTGCTGCATTTCCATTGTTCTTCTTTCAGTAGATGCCTATATCATATATGCAGCTGTATTGATTTAGCATGCAAGTATCTGAATAAATCATATAGTATCATTTTAAGATTTGAGACTCAAACAAAGGTCTTTAGTTGACAAGGCTAAAAGACACAGATTATTGTGGATGCTGAGGGGGAAAGTAGGTGGTAGTGAAAGAAGCAGCCAGGGATGCCGCTGGTGACTGTGTGTTGCAGACTTTGAGTTTGAGTAATGATTTTATTCTGTACTTTTTAAGGCACTAGAGTGGTTATGATTATTGTTCTGTTCTCTTAAGATTTTATTTCATTTTTTTCATCCTATGTATATTCAAGTCCCCAAGGCATAGTCCATGGCTCTCTCATTTTCCTTTCTTTGGAGTCTTCATTTATTTTTCAAGTTTACCTGTCTGTTTTCTATAGATGACTTCTGTGTCTTCATCTCTAGATTTGATGTCCCAGATACAGTCTTTCATTGCAGCAGTTGCCTCCTGGATATTGTCTCTTGGATATTCAACTTTCTTCTCTGTTCTATCATAGCTAAAAACATCTTATCTCCTCCATAAATAATAGGCTTCTATTTCAGTTTCCATGTTAGTGCATTTTTTTCTCTTTAGTCACCAGTTTTGAATTTTAGAGTTCCTTTTATTTTGGTTTCCTGTCTCTAATCTGCATGGATCATTGCCTTTACGCTTATAAATCTCTACTCAGATACCACTTTATCACAGAGACCAAACCTGACATAGAAACATGACATCGGACATTTTCCTTGTCCAGTAATCCCTCTCCTTCCTCTGCTTTTATCTGTACTTCTTATCCCTACTTGATATATTAACTATTTATTCATTTGTATTTGTTTATAAATACTTATTTCATTATTCATTGTCCATCTTCCCAATTTGAACTTAAATTCCATAGCAAATTTTATAATGTACATTGGCTAGAGTAATGCCAATAAACACTCAAATATTTTCTTAATTGAATTATGTTTAACATTTCTTTTGTATACCTTCCTATCCCTTTTGCCCTCTTACTATGTAGGCTTTAGTTAAAATATCTTTTGCCAGTTTTTCTGTAGAGCCTTTCTACTTTTGTTCTGTTCTATTTTTCACAAGTATTTGAGGTTACTATTTCTTCAGATACTCTTTATATTTTGTTGCTTTTCTTATCAGGAGTTTTTATTGTTCTCCATTATGTATTGAGTGATGAACCAAAGTTCAAACTCTTGACCTTGGCACTCAAATGGTCTATTGTTTATCTCTACTCTCAACTTGACTCGTAGATGTTTTTCTTTCTTACTAACCTGTCATTGGCAAGCCAAGTTCTTTCCATTCCTGTCTAACTTGGTGTGCCCTCTTCTACTGTGATAAATTGGCTTTGGGGGCAGCAGAGAGCAGATGCCTATCTTAATCAAAAAGGATAGTATTTGGAGGATTCCTGTTGACTAGAAAGCCATCTGGAAGCTAAGTACCTCCAGCGAAGAACTGTCTGTCCCTTTTCATAGCATCAAACAGAGGAAGTTTTCAAACTTCCTCTTTACCTTTTAGTTAAAATTCTGGTTAACATGATCAGCTGATGTTGATGGAGTAGAAAGCAAAAGGTGTAGGTAGGTGAAGATAAAACGGGATGTTTGAAATGGGTAGACACTGTAAAATGGTATGTAGCTAACATACCAGCTATTTCTATTCTGCTTTCTCAAGATTGGCATCTCGTTTCCTATCTTAAAGTATCTTTGACCACTTTAGCCCTGAAGCACATTCTTCCTCTACCTTTTATAAAAAGCTTTATTGTTGTAACACATTTGGAGTTAATTGTTTATGTTCTTGGTTTGTTCTTGTTTTAGTTTTTGAGAAAGGGTCTTACTATGTAATCCAAGTTAGTTGAACTTGAGATCATGTTGCCTCTCTTCCAAATGCTGGAATCACAGATATGCCTTACCATGCCCAGCTTCTATATGAAATCACACACACACACTCCCCTTTTCAGGTTGAAGCTGAATCATAATATCTTTTTGCCTTCCCCGTGCTTAACCTATATAAGAAACTGGTAGTGGCACACATCTTTAATCTCAGCACACATCTTTAATCTCAGCACTTGGGAGGCAAAGGGAAGCAGATTTCTGTGCGCTTGAAGCCAGCCTGGTCTACAGAGTTAGTTCAAGAATAACAAAGGCTACATAGAGAAACACTGTCTCACCGCCCCCCCCCCCAAAAAAAAAGATGTGTGCTCTGTAAGGTTTTTGTTATTATTGAGGTGTATGTGTGTGTGTGTTTGTATGTATGTTTGCAGGCACCCTTGTGTCAAAGCATGCACAGAAGTCAAAAGATCACATCTAGGAATCAGTTACCTCCTTCCACAGTGGGTTCCTAGGTAGAATGCATATCACCGGGCTTGCGCAGCAAGCACCCTATCCACTGAACTACCCTGTTGGCCCTCCTTGAGATACTACACATTCTTATCCACCATGCACTACCTTTGTTGTTTCAGGAAGATCTTTAACTTCTGCCATTTTAAAGCCCAGCATCAACCTGCAGAATGACCCCATCATTCAGAAGTATGGCTGTGAAAAAGTGGGCTTGATGAGATGTCTTCTGACAAAAAGGGAAATGGAAACATTTCACTTTCCACTCCAAGGTGTGCTTAACTTACTTAATCTAATATCACTAACTTTATTCAAATAATTTTATTAAACATTATTTTTTCTAGATGCGTTTGGGATAGCTTATTTATTCCATCTTGTAGAAATATTTTTAGTGTGAAATGTGGAAAAGTGATGATTTTAGTTTGTACACGGAGGTTACAAATATTAGTAAAATGTTTAATAAGAATGTTCCTAGCCAGGCAGTGGTGGCACACGCCTTTAATCCCAGCACTTGGGAGGCAGAGGCAGGTGAATCTCTGTGAGTTAGAGGCCAGCCTGGTCTACAAGAGCTAGTTCCAGGACAGGCTCCAAAGCTATAGAGAAACCCTGTCTCGAAAAAATAAGTTTCTTCTTTTTTTTTCAGTACTGTTTAGTTACTAGTAAGAATCAGTATTTAACATTTTTAGACTTTCCATGGTGAAGAGATGTCTCAGTTGATACATAAGGGCCATAATTCAGATCCAGATCCCTTATACCCATACTGGACATGGCCCTTGCTTATAATTCAGTACTCTGCAGGTGGACACAAGGGATGCCTGCAGCAAGCTGGCTAAAATTGTCAAGCTTGGTTCAAATAAGAAACTCAGGTTCAGTTTATAAGTTAGAAGACAATCAAAGAGAAGAACAAATGTCAGACTCTGGACTCTAGACACATGTGCCCACAAACATGGAAACGTGAATATACACAGGCACAGCATACACTTGTACATAGTAGACCATTACAGTAAGCCTTCCTCATTGTTTCTATTTCATTTTTCTACTTTTGTATTGAAAAGTTTTTTCTATAAAATATATTCTGGTCATGGTTTCCCCTCCCCCGACTCCTTCCAGATCTTCCCCACCTTCACACACACACAACTCCATACCCTTTTTTCTCTTTTTAGAAAACAGAAAAACAAAATGAGCTAGCCATAATAATAATAATAATAAAATCAAATAAAAACTCGATAAACACTGACATTTACATAGACAGATACACATACACACATATAGAAAAATTCACAAAAACCCCCACAAAATCAGAAACTATAATGTATACATAAAAAATGCCCAAATAAAGCACTATGATACAAAATACCATTGAGTTTTTTTTTTGTGTTGGCCATTTACTGGTGGGCATGGAGCCTGCCCTTAAGTGTGGGAAATATAGCCAGTGACATTCCATTGGAGAGAATTAATTTTTTCTGTGCAGGCAGATGTCAGTTAAGAATAGCTTCTTAGGGATAGGCGCCCTTGTCCACGTCCCCTGTCAGCTCTGGGATCCCATCTGGTCTGAGCTGTGTAGGCAGTGTGCTGTAACAGTTTCTGTGTTACATGTTCATGTGCATCAGTCATGTTGTGTCTGGAAGACACTGTTTCCGTGGTGTCATCCATCCTTCCTGGCTCTACAGTCTTTCCATTTCCTCTTCTGCATAGCTCCCTGAGTCCTGAAGGAAGGGGTTGATGAAGACATCCCATTTAGGACAGAGTGTTACAAAGTCTCTCACTCTCTGAACATTGTCGTCTAGTTGTGTGTCTGTGTTAGTTCCCATCTGTTGTAAGAGGAAGTATCTCTGATGATGGCCAAGTCAGGCAGTGATCTGTGGGTATAGCAGGCACCATTTTTCTGCTGTGTTCCTTTAGCAGAACAGTAGGCCTGTAGCCTATCCAGTCAGAGAGTGGTTGGTTATTCCCAGAGTGCTCGTGCCACTATTGCACCAGGGTATCATGTCTGTAGATCACCTTTGTAGATGACAGAGTTTGTAGCTAGACTGATGACTACCATTCTCCTTTGGTAGCATGACGAGTGCCTTCCAGTACCGTGGCCACCCGTCAGTAGAGGTGAAGGCTAGTCAGACATCAGCTGGGCTTCTCTGTGTTTAATGAGATATATAAGTGTTGTCTTCAGCAATGAGGTCTTACTGTCAGTTTCTAGAGGGCAATAGCCTTGGCAACAGCCTGAGTTATTTGGGGGTTCCTTTGGGGCCCCCTTGGCCAATAGCTCAACTAGATGTAACTCATTCCTGGCTGTAAAGGTTACACTTAATGGTAAAAGATGTCTAGTTGGGGGGGCTGGAGAGATGGCTCAGAGGTTAAGAGCATTCATTGCCTGCTCTACCAAGGTCCTGAGTTCAATTCCCAGCAACCACATGGTGGCTCACAACCATCTGTAATGGGGTCTGGTGCCCTCTTCTGGCCTGCAGACATAGACNCAATTCCCAGCAACCACATGGTGGCTCACAACCATCTGTAATGGGGTCTGGTGCCCTCTTCTGGCCTGCAGACATAGACACAGACAGAATATTGTATACATAATAAATAAATAAATAAATAAATAAAAAGATGTCTAGTTGGCGCATTGTCTCCCCATTTATTTGGTGATTCCATTTAGATTCCTTTCATATATATGCATATTTTAAGATGTTTTTATGGTAATAGGCTTCCATATGACTCTTCAAATAGCCCTTAGTATTAGCTGTCTCTCTCTGTATTCCCTTCTTTACCCCTCTCTTCCATCTCTCTCCCTGTTTAATCCTCCTGTGCCAATCCCTCACTATTTCTCCATCTCTATATATTCTATTTTCCCTTCCTTGGGAAGTCCTCCCCTCCAGCTAGTCTCTTACTCCATACCCAACCTCCGTAGTTATACAGATTGTAGCGCACTTATGGAATGCTTAAAAGCTAACATTCACATATAAGAGAAAATACACAAAATTTGTCTTTTGGCGTCTGGGTTATCTCATTCATATATTTTTTTTCTAGCTCTATTTACCTGCATATTTTATAATTTATATTTTAAACAGTTGAATAATATTCCAGTGTGTAAATGTACCACATTATCATTAAGCAGTCAATCGTTGATGGACATTTAGGCTGTTTCCAGTTTCTGGCTATTATGACTAGGGCTACAGTGAACGTGGATGAGCAGATACCTGTGTGGTAGGATATAGAGTCCTTTGGGTGTATGCCCAAGGATGGTGCAGCTGATCTTGAGGTAGATCTAGTCTCAACTTCTTGAGGGATTGCTACTCTGATTTCCACAGTGTCTATTCAAGTTTGTACTCCCATCAGCAATGGATGAATTTTCCCCTTACCCCACATTCTTGCCAGCATAAGCTGTCATTTGTTTTAATGATCTTGACCAATCTGACTGAATAATATGAAATTTCAAAGTAGTTTGATTTGCATTTCCCTGATGACTAGGATGTTGAGCACTTAAGTGTTTCTTATCCAGTTGTTTTTTTTCCGGTTTTGAGAACTCTGTTTAGTTTTGTATTTTTAATCCATCTTTAATTTGCCTATTTGTGTTTTTTTTTATTTAAAAATATTTATAGCATGATTAATAAAAACCTAGAGACAGATATTGGGGTTCAACCTGAAGATCAGAAAAGCAAAACAGACAGCCAGTGGCTCTTACTTCGAACAGTCCAAAATGGTGATCCTGCCTCCAAGAATCTCAGAATGAGACTGTGTGAGAGGGTCTCCTCCCACTTTATATTCCTCTCCAGTGCTCGGATTAAAGACATGCACCACTACTGCCTGGTTTCTGTGGCAAACTAGTGTGGCTATTGAGATTAAAGGTGTGTCACCCCAGTGGGATTGTTTTACTCTCTGATCTTCAGGCAAGCTGTATTTAGTAAAATACAAATGAAATATCACTCTACAAATATTTTTTTTCATTTTCCATACCAACCCCAGTTCTCCCTCCATACCCCTTCCCCATTCTCCCCCTCCTCCACCTCCATCTATGCCTTAGAGGTGGTAAGTAGCCTCCCTGGGACATCAACAAAGTCTGGCATACTCTCCCCGCTGCATCAAGGCTGAGCAAGGTATACCATCATAGGGAATGGGCTCCAAAAAGCCAGTTCACGTATAAGTCCTGGTCCCACTGCCAGCGGCCCCACAAACAGATCAAGCCACATGTTGTAATATGAGCGGCGGGGCTGCGTCCCCAGCACCCTGACCACCTGCTAGCTTATGCCCCAAAATAATTACACTGACACTGTATTCTTTTAAACACTGCTTGGCCCATTAACTCTAGCCCTTACAGGCTAATTCTCATATCCTGATCAACCCATCTCTAATAATCTGTGTAGCATCAGTCTTACCCGGAAAGATTCTAGCCTATGTCCATCCTGGGTCTGAGCTTCATGCGTCTGCCTCAGAGAGCAGAGCTATTGCGTCTGCCCGGGAGAGGGAAGCATGGTGTCTCTGAGCTCACTTCCTCTTCCTCCCAGCATTCTGTTCTGCCTACTCCACCCACCTAAGGAATGGCCTATCAAAATGGGCCAAGCAGTTTGTTTATTACCAGTAACCTTCCTCCATCAGCCACACAACTGTCACCCAAATTCAGAGGGCCTAGTTTGGACCCATGCAGGCTCCACATCTGTCAGTCCAGAGGCTGTGACCTCCTGCTAGCTCATGTCAACTCTTGTTGAGGACTGGCCTCAACAGAATCACCTCTTACCAGGGTAGGGCCATTGGAATTTTAGAAATATAATTAAAGAATATAAAGATGCATAAAAATAATAAGACAGAAAACATAGAAAGTATCGGGAGGATATTCCAGTGACTGAAATTCTGAAATTCACCCGTGTTTATTTTTCCACAGCTTTTATACCCAACGTAAATGGGGGAAAAGGTAATAAAAGACTTTATTAACATGATACAAAAGGATAAGTTACACAATCAATGGCTTTATCACTCTGAGACATCAAATCATTAGCATTCTGTTGTCTAGGTAGCAATGATATTCTAGGTCATGTATTCTGAAGACAGCTCTTCCCTAGGTGACCTCAGAGTTAAACAAGGAGCAGAAGTACATTTGCATATTCTGACTGCCTATCAGGATGGCATGAATTTACTAGAATGAACTATCTTAATTTCAAAAGAAATAAGCAATCACCTCCTGAGTTGGGATGTACAGCTATGCTTGTCAGTCTTCACACTCTCTAACCAACAGACAAGGTGGAAATGGACCTGCATTTTCTTGGCCTCCACAAACTGTCCTGGT